TCTTCAAATCTTTGGCCTATTTTTTTTTTTTTTTACAAAATCAGATGTTATATTGTTATTGGCTTGTGAGAGTTCTTATAAATTCTGGATACAAGTTCTTTATCAGATGTATGTCCTAAACTTATTTTCTCTCTGTTGATGGTCACATTTTTATTTTTCAAATAGTTGCCTTTTGAAGAACTAAATTTTTAAATTTTGTCTAATGTATCACTTTTTTATATGTTATGCTATTTTTCTTAGACATCTTAATAGACATCTTAAAATTAAAACTTCTAATCATGAATCTGCTGATTTTTCAGGTCTACTTTAATTTTTTTCAGGAATATTTTGTCATTTTCAGTGTACAAGCTGTGTGTGTGTGTGTGTGTGTGTGTGTGTGTGTGTTGTTTTTTTAGGCCATTCTAAATAGTATTGTTTCAATTTTAACTTCTGTTTGTTCACTGGTAGTATAATAAAATAGAATTGAGTTTTGTAATTTTTAAAAAACTTTCTTTATGAAGCCTTACTAAAAGACAACAAATCATGAACAAGTGAATAAACAATCAACTTGTCATTCCTAGGATAAAACGCACAACTCACTTGTTCATTTTTTGTTATCTTTTTTTATATATTGCTGGATTTGGCCTTTTCGTATATTAAGGAATTTATCTTTTGTATTCATGAGGGATATTAGCTTAAAGTTGTATTGAAATCGCTTTGTCTAATCTTGCATCAGAGTGATACTGGTGTTGTAAAAAGGCTGAGAAAATTATCATCTTTTTCTATATCCTGGAAGAGCAGGATTAGTATTAATAGTTCTTATATATTCAGTAGAATTTGTCAATGAAGCCATCTGGGCCACAAGTTTTATTTGTGGGAAGTTGTGAGTGGGGATTTAATTCATTTAACAGATATAAGACTATTCAGGTTAATTCTTCTTTAATGAGGTTTGGTAGTTTGTGTCTTTTAAGTAATTTCCCATTTCATCTAAATTGTTGAATGTTTAGCATTTTTATTCATAGTATTCCCTTTGTTATCCTTTTAATGCCTGTGGGATCCGTGGTCATGCTTTTACTTTTATTTCTGATACTGGTAATTTGTCGTTCTCCTCTTATATTGCCTTGTAGTATGGTTCAAAATATGGTCTATCTTGGTGAATGTTCTATGTGCCATTGGAATGAATGTGTATGTTTGTTTTTTCTGAAGCGGTATGTTTTTTAAAAGTCAGTTAATTTAACTTGACTGGTGCAGTTGATCAGGTCATTGAGATCCGTACTGGTTTTCTATGGATTTCTGTTACCAATTATTGAGAGAAGAGTGTTGAAATCTCCACTTCAAATTGAGTATTTGTCTGTCTTTTTTTTTATTTCTCTCATACTTTGCCCCCTGTGCTTTGAAGTTCTGTTATTAAATGCCTACATATTTAGGTGTGTCCTGCTCTTTTGATGAATGAACTTCTTTTATTATGAAACAGCATTGTATATTTTGAGTAATATTTCTTCTGCTGAAATCTACTTTGTCTGATATTAATAGAGGTACTCCAGCCTTGTCTTTTATTCATATTTGCTTGTTATAGATTTTTCATCCTTTTTCTTTAACCCATTTGTGTTTAAAGTGGTTGAAAGGGGGGTATTTTTGTTGCTAGCATATGGTTTGGTCTTGCTTTTTATCAATTCTGATCATCTCTGCCTTTTAAATTGGCCACTTATATTTAATATTCTTATCAGTTGATTTTAAATTTATCATCTTGATACTTTTTTTATTTTCTGTTTGTTCCCTTACTTCTTTTGTTTCCACAAGAGGGAGGGAAAATAGTTTCCTTTTTGCAGATTAATAGAATATGTTTTGTTTCTCCGTTACTCACTTTTTAGCAATAGCTATTTCATTTCGTTTTTAATGGTTTCTCCAGAGTTCGCAACATACATCTTATTACAGTTTCCCTTCAGATAACATTGTACCACTTGGTATGTAGAGTAAAAATCCAGCAAAATATATACTCTAGTGTTTTCTCACAAGCATGCACAGATCCATCCTTACTCAGCCAAAGCCTCACTGCCCGCCCTCTTCTCACAGCTCTCATGAGCTCTCACTCTGGGGAATGTTCTCCCCATATTTGCCTTCCCACAGCGCTCACCTCTGCCCCCTGAACTCATGAAGCCCCCGAACCTTGTCTAGGTTTATCGTCCTATGCTTGGTCCTGTGAACTCTCTCCTGACATTAAACTGGGCAGCTGTAGGGCTTGCCTCTTTCTTTCCCTTCTCTGAGTGCTCATTGTTTCAGGCTGCCTGTCGTACAGTGTCTAACAGTCTTTGTTCCATAGAGTGTATTAACTGCGTCTCTAGCTTCTCTAAATTTGATGTCTTAACATTTGTCCTACATGCATATGTTGGGTATGCCTTGGATGGGCAGCCTGATAATACGCCCGAGTCACCTTGCTTTGATCTCTGGCCTTCCATATCATCTCCTGCCTCTCTAGCAAGGAGCCCTCCTCCTGGGAGTAAACTTTTCAAATAGAAACCAACCAATAGAGGTCACACTCCAACCACCTCCCATCCAGGGCTCTTACTCTCTGAGTCTTGACCCAGCTGCCCTAATCACCCAGGGCCACATACTGATCATAGGAGCAGTCCTCATGCCCAGAGCCCACTAAAGTTACTCAGACTGGCCAACCCTGAGGTTGCTTATCCCACGTTACCCGTTCCTTTCTGCAGAAACCCCAGTAAAGCCTCTTGCCCACAGCCCCTCCTCCCCCTCTGCCTCCTGACCCACCCGGGTGCTTCCCTGAGTCCCCCCAACCCTCCCATGGCATGCCGTGACCCTCCACTTGGGGACTGTGAGTAGCAAACTATCTTTCCAAAGGCAATTACCTGCTGATCTGTTGACCTTGCGATTGACTTAAAATTTTCTGTTAGCACACCATATTTTAAAACATGCATTTTTCATGTTTTCTAGTTTTTAAGGTGGGAGGGTGAGTTTGGTTACTCCATCATGGCCTGAAGAGGGAAAAGACACTGTGTTTACCAGCATCTTCGAGTTCAATAGAGTGCTGCTGACAGAATTTGTCCGCTGTCAAATCCACATAACCATTAACCATTCATCTGCGAATTCAGTGTGTTCAGTGTTCTTATTACAAAT